GGAAAGAAAAAGAGAACATGGCAACCCTCGGACTCTTTCACACTTTCGTAATGAGTCATTCGTTGCACTGTTCTTTCATGAGTCCTGTGTTTCAGTATCTGACTTTTAACGACCCCTTCAGCGATATGATACTACCCGCAGATATCTTACCTCTATGGGGTTTAGTGATTCACCTGCGCCTCTCTCGCCTGATGGTGCACATTTAACTATCTCGAGGTTGTAGAAGGTGAGTTACCACATTCAAATTAGAATTTGACTCTTTCAATCCTGATCCTGGCACTCTATCATCTGCCTGCACGACGTAATTACAGAATAACTGCTCTACCTCAAAAAATGAAACTTGGCCATGAAGACCTTCCTTCGCTTCAAACAGCTCTGACAACTTGAGGTGACCGTATAAACATTTTCAACGTTATCACTTTGTGAAGCAAGCTACCAAAGCAAAGTAAGTCTTTCAATCATCTGTACCGTCACAGTTACGAGAAAGCAGACCGGCAGCGGAAGAGACTTTGAGTTCAAAGATATTTTTAGCTTTCAACTGACTGTCAGTTTGTCTAAAGTCGTAAATTCTGCCGTTAATCTTGTCATTTTGTGTCACTGACTTGAGAAATCTACAAAAACCATTGTTGCCTGTTGTCTTTTTTCAGGTCTCCAACACTGGTGGCATAGAGTATCACCATTATGCTCAAAGATAAGAGGCTTATTTAAACATAAACGGGAACAATAACTGAATATTATGGTAATGACTCAATAAAATCTGTTCCTGACGGAGTTAGGCATTACCTGGTAGACTCAGGGCTACGAACATATTGCAATGTATGTGCTGTAGTATGTTGGGAGTACTGTTCATGAGAAATTGTTCGAACAGTGGCTATGGCGGAAAAGATCATACGAATATGGCCCTACGGTTGTCCAAACATCGTGGATCTGTGCTGTGCCTAAATGCCCCTAGGAAACTAGGTGGTGCACTATGCCGTGAAATCTGGAGGAGTTGCGGGTTATTGGATGATGCCTCCTAGTGTCACATGTAGTTATCACCTTGAAATGTTTACATCAGCAAGTCGCTTGCGGTCTGTGACGCTTGTTACATTCCCAGTTTGGCAGCATCTTTAAAATAAGGCAGAATACGGCATCGATTAAAGAACAATTACTCATTTAACGAATATCTCTGTTCATCTTATTCATCAGTGTTTCACGCTGGTCCTCTGGTTTGCTTCCGCCATGCCTAATTTGCATAGTCATCAGTGGAAATGAATTTAGAGCTATCAGAAC